TCATGAATCAAGTTTTTTTTTTTGGAGGACCCAGATAACCTTTTTGGAAGAGGAACTTGCGTAAAGCCTTTGCTGTATTCTTTTCCGTTGTTAATCATTTGTGTGTAAGGAAGTTCAAGAAGCCCCAATCCAAGAGGTTAGGTATGTAAGAAAAAGAGCTGAGCTTCAGCTGACTGTCACTGTTGTGACATCATGTCTCTCCACCCCATCTAAACTTTTATAGATATATCAGGCTTGTGTGGTTAGGGTGTAGAGACTCAGTCCCCTGTGGTGACTTTCATCTCATGTCGGATTAGTAATGTGAGGTGATAAAAGTGGGAGGAAAGGCTCATAAATCATGTGAAGACTGCAGTATTGTCTGTCAGATTACCACTTGATATTTCAGATTAATGATGACATAGCGCATCCAGGCCTGAGATACAGCATTCCCCTCTCTAAAGCTAAATAAACATAAAATAAAATTGTGAGGGGATTGATTGGAGGAAGGGCTGATATACTAGAGGACTCTGAAGTGGTTTCTTACTCTGTGTTCTCTGTTTGCACAGAAATAGGTCTAGGAGCACAATTTTAATCACTCCTGAAGAAGTAGAGTGGGACTTTTATGTGACATCCTTCCGGTACATCAGTGGGGCTAACGCAGCATTGAAAGTGGAAAATAACTATTTTTAAACTGGCAAAAATATAGTTGGCACAATTGTGAATTAATTTTAAACAGGATTTGATCTGAAGTGAAAAATACAAGATGGAGCATTATCCAAAAGTGCAAGGCTCTCACTTATACGATACCCTGCCAATGAGTGCCAGGGACTGAGAGGTAGATTGCATCAGCTGCCTTGGTGGTCAAGCCATCTGGTCTCTCTTTCCTCTTCAATTGAGGTGTGAGTTGCTCTCTTCATGGTGCAGAGGCACTCAAAGATGAAAATAGATTCCAGTCCTCTACAAACAAGCCCTCATACTTTAGTCCCTAAATTATTTTCTGTTCCACATAAAAGGTTGAGAAATGTATTCGGAAAGCATATTTACTTTGAATCAAGAAAAAATCAATTCTTGAAAAGCTTCTGCTAGCATTGAATTATATCACCAGCACCTTCTCTTTCAAATTCCAAGAAACCAATATTGTTTTAATTTTTCTGAGGTGGTTATGCTAGTTGATAGGCAGAGAGAGAGAGAGAGAGAGATTTAACAATAAAAATAGTACACATGAGACCACCTGGCCTTTTTTTCCAACTACATTTGCTGGAATGTAATCTGCAATAGAAATGGCAATATTAGGCAATATTAGGCCAGGACAATCTACTTTTACAATAGTATGTTTGTCTTCACCTTAAGTAGAAAGACATTTTCCATTGCAATGTTTGTGAAAGTCTGAAGAATGGTCTAGACCATAAAGAATTCATCTCCATCTCCCTTCCTTCTGCATATGCCCATCTCAGTAGCATACACTTAAGATTCCATGTAAAGGGCATGAAGAAAGATAGAACAGCCTTTATACTGACAGCAGATCCACTGCTGTCTAGATCAGTAACTGCCAAATTAAGCAGAAGATTTGAAATTTTCATCTAACAATAAAATGAGCTACAAGCTTCCAAATGTGTAAAATCTAAACATTGTAATTTTGGCACAGGGTTTATATTTGGCTGTAGTCAAATTCCTGAAGTAAATCATCTTTTATTACCAAAAGCTTAATACACTTGGAATTTAGTTTTCCGATCTTAAGATTCAGCTGGATGCAAAATATGGAATGGAGTGAAACATATTCCCTTGAATCTTCCAAAAATGGACTTGTCCAAACCTTGCAGCATTGATTTGCTGTTTGCAGAGAGCTTCCCTCAATACAGATTCCAAAGAAGGAGCATCTTGTTGTTTGCGGGGTATGCAGGCTGTTCAGCTAAACTTGAAAACAACTGGAATCACACTTAAACTGTAATTTTCTTTTTCTTTTTTGTTATTTGAATTTCTTGGAAGTAAACCGAGATCCAGGAAGTTCTCTGAACTTCATTTCTTCGTTTGTCTGGCTCCTCTTTTATTTTTCTGCTTTTTATAAAGCATGCCTTAGAAATTAGCCTTAGGTTTAGGTTAGAGTTAACATGACATGTTAGACAAGAGCAGATTAGGGAATCAAAAATTGTTGTTTGGAGTAACTGTTTTTAACCCAGAATTAAAACATTTTAAAGCATGATCCAATATTGCAAGAATTCCTGAGGTGCTCCTCTGTGTTTTCTTAAGAAGTTGGGATTTTCATTCCAACAATATGTTGTGTCTTTTCTCTCTGTCCCTGGCATGCTTTTCATATCTGTCTCTGATTTTCCTAACATGTTGCCTACTTGTTTTCAGCTTGGGGTCATCTTTCCATTGGGCCAACTGTCATGCGATGGGACAATACACTAACTTTGGAACAGAAGAAAGGTTTTGCATTCTTTGCCATCAACAAACCTACCAGAGATCATCTCTATGTTCTGTGGCTTGTTGTGGTTGGAAGTAGCGTATATCCTGCATTCCAGGAGGATACGTGCACTGGACATTGGATTGAGAAAGGCTCTTGCAATATTTGCCTGTGTCTTTCTTCCTTCCAATCTACCTCATTTCCACTGAAAGTCATCTTTCCTGAGTCTGTGGAAGTGCCACTATGTATAGAAGACAGGGAAGCAACATCTGTCCTCTCCCCTTCAATTTTGCAAGGGCAGTACCTAGGTAGCCCCACCCCAGGACACATAAATCAATTCACAATCCAGGTGAATTAAGGTTGGAAGGTACAGAAAGATGCACTAGTTTTGGGCCTCAGTGGATCCTCTGTAGCATTGTAACATTTTTCAAAGAGCCCCTTGACTTGCAAATGCAAGGTAATTTGGTGGGGATTATGGGATGGGAGTTTTACTAATGAGTTTTACTCTTTCTTCATGCAAGAGAAAGTGGGAAGCTATTGTGGTGGTGGGGAAGGACAAGACTAAGTACTGCCCCTCATGTCACATAGATCAGCCTGACAATCCAAGGTGCTGTAGCTCAATAAATATATCTAGGATGATCGCTCTGCAGGTTTAATGTGTATGTTTTTGGATTTCAGTGTTGCAAATGTTGAAATCTCAGTGTGGCTCCTGTCTCCTTCTTGTTAGATGGCAACCTGTAGAAAGCTAGCCTTACTGGGAGCCCACTTTCTCATGCTGCTAACAGGAGCTAGGAGTTCCTTCCCAAATCCTGTCTTGATAGCATGATGAGCTTGAATCGGCATGCCTGTTTGATTTTTAAGAAGTCTTCAAATGGAACTTTTGCCAGTTAAACTAAAGAGTATATAACATTAAAATGGAAACGTGTTTGTTAGATGTGATCCCTACAATATGTAATGTTAGAGTGCTCTTATGTTTGGTTGATAATAATATCCCCGGAGTATATATCCTGTGTGGTGTTTTCAGTTAAATTGACCACCAGGAGATAGTAGGTGGCCAGTTTCATCCTTACTGGGAATCATCAGACGTAGAGGCCAAATCTTATTCTATAAGGTTCAAACCCTCTACCAGGAACTGAACTGACATTTTACATTACTATATACAATGCATTAGCTTTAGGAGCTATCTAGATTCTGGTGAAGGACAATCACTTGAACTCCACTTTTTACAGAATGGAAACTGAGGGTGAGAGATGTTACTGGCTTGAAAGCCTCTGTATATTTTTACGATTGAGCTGCCATGGAGAACCTGTGACTTCAGGACCAACCGGAGTCCTCATCCTAATTTCCTGCAGCTTTTCTAGTCATCTGGTTCTTCAGATACTGCAGGTCCACCAGTTCTTTAGATTGCCTCAGTAGGATTCACTTCTGCTTTTGCTATGGATTTGTGGAGAAAAAGAGAAAGATAGCTCTGTAGCCATGCAGGGCAATGCAAAAACTTCCCACCAACTGACCTGGCTTCCCCCACTGGCAGCTGTTGCTCTCACTGATGGTTCTTGTGGGTCACTGGCACTTTCTAGGGGAAAAAAAGCTTCTGCTGAGTGAGATTTCGAATGGTGGTGTTGTAAGAGGCTTCAACTCTGCTTCTCCCATGATGCGAGAACTGAGGCTGTATTGGTCTGATTTACTCTATTTGCCCAATGTTTTTCTTGTACAAGACAATATATGTATCCCTTTGTGTCAGTTTGTGTTGAGTTATGGTGCGTGAAGGCTGGCATTTATTTTCAGCCAAGCTATCTGCATGCATGCGTGCATAGAGGGCTATTGCATTCCTTTGCAACACCAGTCTACCACTTCTGCTCTTCTTGTAATTGTCCCTTGTGCTTAAATATGCAAAGTCAGAGTTCCCTATTGGCATTTCCCTCCGGCGTGCAGGGTTGTATACGCAATTAACGGCTGCTTGTACCGTTGGAACAAGGATAGCCCTTCTCTACTGCAGCACTCCAGCTTCACACATCTCTTAGTTGGTTGTGTGCTTGCTTGTCTGTTAGATTGGTGTTCTCAAGTTATCTCTCTTGCCCTCAAGCTGTGATCAACTTCTACTTTGGCTTGGAGCTGAGGCATTTGTGAAACCATTTGCCTGTTTGTTCTCTCTTGGACTCCCATTCAGCTTTTTCGAGTCTAACATTCTTCTAAACATCCTAATTTTGCTGGCTTTTTCTGAGAGCATTGTGGCAAGATTGCTTTCTCTGGCTTGAAATGCTCTTTTCCTTCTAAACATCCTAATTTTGCCGGCTTTTTCTGAGAGCATTGTGGCAAGATTGCTTTCTCTGGCTTGAAATGCTCTTTTCCTTCTAAACATCCTAATTTTGCCGGCTTTTTCTGAGAGCATTGTGGCAAGATTGCTTTCTCTGGCTTGAAATGCTCTTTTCCTGGTTTCTCAGTAGCTGATTCCCTGCTCTCCAAAACAAGTCTTCCTTCTTGCTGCTGCTGCTGCTGCTGCTGCTTCTGCTAGTGACTCAACAGCCTTAAGCCATAGGCTGGGACGTGCCTGAATATGATTTTTGGGCTGGCTCTGCTGGTACATCTTGGCATTCTGGGTTAGTGCAGTTATTTTACCAGGTCACGTTGCGTGTGCCCAGCTGGTTTCTTCGCTGAGTAAGCCACTTCCCAGCTAGGACAAAAACCAGGTACAGGATGGGAGACGTATCCGAAGATCCCTGTAACAAAGTAAGGTTGGAAACATTTGAAGGGGAGAGGGTGGGTGTCTTGGCTCCTGGAACTGCTGCGGTCTTGGGAACCAAAGCTGTCAGGCTCCTGCTTTTAGAGATTATGCTTCTGTTATGACTGAGCAAGCGCTGATTCTCTTCCTGGCCCTTAGATGGTTGCCTTGAAATGTTTTTAGGCGCTTACAGATAAGTTGCCGGTAGCCATTTGGGTGGTGAGTGGTCGGTTTTAGAATTCCCCCCACCCCACCATTCCTGGAAGGTGCAACACTCATTGAGATAGGACTTATGTATAGTCCATACCATACTAGCTTTCCTTCCATAAGCACAAGCAACATCAATCAGTCAATAGCACCCATAGCCTGCTGGTATGTAGGAGAAGGTGTCTTCCATAACTCAGCTCTTTGAAGCCTGTACAAGAGGTGTGTGGTGCTTTGGTTTGATTTGATATTGCCCACTTGATGTGCATGCATAGGAATGGGTGGCTCTGTATGATAGTTCAGAGGAGTCTTATCTTGCAGCAAAGCTTTCCTTCTTCTGCCTCAGTACAGCCAAACCTATGTTGCTCTCCCACGTCTTTGGGTTTGGCAATCTTTCTGCTTGAGATCCACCGAGGTGCTAGGGGCTGAACAGAGGTGCCTTTTGCTAGTGATGAATGTGCTGTCCTGTGTGTGCCTTTAAATAAAATTAGGCAGTCTCCATAATCTCTAACAATAGAGTGTACACGTGTCCCTCTTCAAGACTACAGTATTAAGGATATTTGGCAACTCTCAAGCTGCCTAATTTTATCTTTTTAGAATCATAGTTGGAAGGGGCAGTGTAGGCCTATGAGTCCATCCCCCTCTCCCCAGTTCAGGAATCCAAATTAAAGCATTCCAGGCAGATGGTTGTCTAGACTCTGGTGAAGGGGAACCCACTACTTCTCTGGGTCATTTATTCTATTCTCAGGCTGTTCTTATGTTAGGATTTTTTTTTTCTAACATTCAATTGGAATTTGCCTTTCTCTAATTTAAGTCCATTGTTTTGTGTCCTGCACTCTGGAATGAGAGAAGGGATAGACCTTGTCCTTCTTCTACAGTATGTGACAGCCTTGAGGTATTTGAGGAGTGCTATCTTATCCCATGTCAAACATCTTTTCTCAAGGGTAAACTTTCCCAGTCCCTTAAATCTGTCTCCACAGAGCTTAGTTTCTAGTTCTCTGATCATCTTAGTTGATCTTCTTTGAACCTATTCTAATGTGTGTGAACATTTCTTAAAGTATGATACCCAGAATTAGCCCCAGGAATCTTGTGTCTGGCCAAAACAGAATAGAGTGAAATAATTATTTCTCATGATTTGTGATACTTTTGTTGACACAGCCTAAAGTAGCATTGGCTGTTATTGTAGCCACATCACACTGTTGGCTCATACATAGTTTGTAGTCAATTGACAAAGATCATTTCTGCAAATATTATTACCAAGCCATTTGGTCACTTAGTTTCACAAGTGAAGAACTTTGCACTTCTTCCTGTAAAACTCGCTCGCTTCGGCAACACATATACTAAAATTGGAACGATACAGAGAAGATTAGCATGACCCCTGCGCAAGGATGACACTCAGTTACTTTTATCTCATCTATCCAGCCTATCAGATGATGATGATGATGATGGTTGGTCGCACAGTCAGCCAGATGTTTAGAGTGGATCTGGCATTTTTGTCCACCTATTGAGTCTTTCCCAAGGACCTTGGGTAGGCAGATATTGTTTGATGGTGTTAAAAGTGTCATAGCAGGATATAAGCTGTTCCAAGTAAAGCTGCCTTTTGCAATTCATTGATGGTGATTTTGTCAATGCCAGTGGTGTTCAAGTGGTGCTCCAGACGTTTTGGAATTGCACCCAGGCTCCTATTACTATTGGTTCTATCTTTGCTTTCTTTTACCATAGTCATTCTACTTCTATTTGCGGGTCTTTATATTTTGTGATTTTCTCCAGTTTTTTCTC